AATAAAATACATTTCTTCGGAAATGATTTGATAACATATTTATCATGTTTTTTTTTCTGGGAACAAATTCCGCAACACTTTTAATGAAATAATTACTCTGAAATTATTTTAAAAGCATAAATTAAACCGGTATTTTCTGCCGTGAATTGGGGATGTCACAATATATATATATATATATATATATATATATATATATATATATATATAGGTACAGTGAAGATGCGTCTGACTATAATACTAACAGTTATTTGTGCAAATCGTTGAAATCTGTTATTTATTAAATAAATAACAATAGTTGTACTCGTTGACTAGATATTTCGTTTTCGTTTGTTGAAAATAATCCACTTTGAATCGTATTTGTCAAAAATGTCCCAATATTATCGATTTTGGCAAAAATTGCCCTTTTTTATAAATTATCAAATAAGACCCATATTTGACAAAAGGTGTCATAAGTGGTTCAAAACTATGTGAATTGTTAAAAATGGACCATTTCTTCTAAAATTCCCATTTTAGACTTATCTTTATGAAAGTGTTCAAAAAGGCCCTTATTTATCCAATAATTACATTTTTGGTCCTTAATAAATCGAAGTGTTCAATAATTACTCCAATTTATTCCATGTTCCAAAAATGATATATATATATATATATATATATATATATATATATATGTCCGAAAATAGCCCAAGATATTAATATTTTCATAATTTAACATCTTCAAAATATTAGTTCCTACCTCTTGTTTAAACAATTTCTTTGAGCAATTCTTGTGATTTTTGACATAAGTTTTTATGAATGATAATTCATATACTTACTAGTTTTTACTTCTAATCAACACTGATTTGTGAAATATAGTCCAAACTCTTGAGACTTAACCATAATCTCGAAATTTTGGACTTCTATAGGGAGTTTCATAATCTTAAACACATACATAACAACATACAAATATAGACAAGCAATTATATCATGAATTCACAAGACCCTTGACTTGTATTCTCCCCCAAAAACAATGAAAAACTCAAAAGAGGGGTATGAAGCTCACATTTGGTAGAAGATAGTGTAGTGGGAGAGGTGAGGTGAGAAATTTGGAGCCTAAAACACTTGAAGTGTTGGATGAACCTCTTGAGGATTTTTGCTAGCATAAGGCTATGAACACATAAATTTATGTGTGAGTAGAAGCTTTAAAATGATTAAATGCATGAATCATTTACTAGGCATGAATTACTTACCAAGGACTAGGAAGAATTGTGAAGTAATGGATTCTGGAGCTAAGTCTTGAGTTCTTGGGAGAGTTCACTGAGTTCTCAGAAGGTGGAAATGAGTTGTGGTGAAATGAGAATGAAGTTTACGCTCCTTCATATGGGATAAGGAATTGATTTGATATTTGCTTGGTTTACTGTTGGGTAATAACTATTACTAGAAGTTAATTCGTGAATATCTGGGATTTGCATTGGGAATTAGCCAATCACAGCTAACACTCACCGTAAACAACTTTGAATTGGGGGGGGGGGGTTACGGCCAAATGAGGTCCACCAAAGGTGGTTTACGGCCTAAAGGGTGTCCATTATGGTGTTCATGGTCTAAAAGTGGCCTAGAATGGTGTTCATGGTCAAGATTTGGTGGCTTAGGGTGGTTTACGGTCAAGATGCTCCTTAGGACTGTTCACGACCAACCTTATCCCACACGAAGTAGTTCACGGTCAAGGGTTGGTGTTTTAGGGTAGTTCACGGCCAAAGTGCTTCCTAGGGAAGTGTTCATGGTCTTAGTGGATTGGAAACTCAAATATGTTAGTTTTATTGTTTATGTGTTTAATACTTTGACGTAACTTATATTTCTTATTGTTTGCATTGACTTAGGAGACTTTAGGGTAGTATAATTATCAAAAACATTACATTAACAAAGCATAATAATAGCATAGCTATAACTATTACATATACGAAACTCCTTTGGCTTGGTTTTTGGACTTGAAAGTTCCAGTTGTGACATGGGATGTACGAAGAGCATGCAAATTTGCTGAACGACATAGTTGATGTCTGGTCGGGTGAAAGCCAAATATTGGAAGGCCCCGACAAGTTGACGATATTGCACACCCCCGTCAGGTAGCGGAGTACCATCGTTATTGCTTAATATTGCCTTGCTGTCAACTGGCGTGGAGGAAGGGTGGCAAGAACTCATTCCTGCCCTTTCGAGAATTTCGTTGGCATATTTTTGTTGTGATAAAAAAATCTAATCTTTTCGGCAGGTTACGGATATGCCAAGAAAATAGTTGAGTGGTCTGAGGTCCTTAATTGCGAACTCTTTTGCTAACAGTACCATAAACTCATGGCGAAGGTGAGGTGATTAGGTAATAAGTAGGATACCGTCGACATACAGGAGTAGGAATGTCGTGTGGGTACCCTTTTTGTAAATGAATAACAAGTAGTCACATTTGCTATGTTTGAAGCCCAATTTGGAGACGTAATCAACAAATCGTTGATACCAACCCCGTGGTGCTTGTTTGAGGCCGTATAGAGACTTTTTGAGTAAATACACATGATTTAGGAATGAGCGGTCTCGAAATCCGGGTGGTTGATGCATGTAGACCGTCTTGTGAAATTGTCCGTGGAAAAAAGCATTGTTCGCGTCTAGTTAGTGAATTTGCCACTTATTAGAAAGAGCTATGGATAGGACTATATAGATTGTTGTCGATTTGACCACGGGGCTGAAGATTTCTCCACACTCGATGCCTTCTTTTTGAGACCTGCTATCACACACCAAACGAGATTTGTATCGCTCTAAAGAACCATCATATTTAGTTTTATGATGAAAAATCTACATACTGCACACTATATTCATATGATGAGTTCTTGGGACTAACTCCCACGTGTTATTATCAATATGAGCCCGAAATTCATCGGTCGTGACATGTTTCCAGTATGGGTTTTTGAGAGCATCAACAGGGTTTGAGGTAAAGGAGAAACAGAGCAATGTTTAGCTTAAAGTTGTCACTTTAGTCCAAAAAGTTTTGGACTAACACTACCGGTCAAAAACTTTGATTTTGTTGCGAGTTTGATCCAATTTGTTTTGAAATTTTTTATAATGATGATTTTGCCCTTATTTTTTTTCCTATTTATTTATTTATTTATTTAAATACTTTTCTAATTAAAAGAAAAATAAAAAAGAAAATTTATACCTTCTTCCCCTTCCCATATATCTCTTTTTTACTTTTTATTTTTTCACAAAAAGAACCTAACACAACTACCATTACCTGTCCAAAAAATGTGAACAACCACCATCGCTACGAGTTGGAAACCACCGCCATCAGCCGGAAACCACTGCTACCAGTCGTAAACCATCGTCAGTAGTTGAAAACTACCAATCAACACCACAACAACCTTATAACATACACAATTCAACACCACCACCAACATCGATTTTCCGACAAACGACCAGCTGACCATCCATCGATTTTTTCATAAATATGAAAACCGATAACAACCACGTACATCTGAAGACCGACGACGACGACTTCGCCTGTGCTACCAGATTTGTTTGTCGCCGATGATAAGGGTTTGGCTAGGGCCGTTGCAACGACTCCGATGTATGTAGCTTGAGTTTCCAGCGCCTCGATAAATGTTTGTCGCCGATGATAAGGGTTTGGGAGGGTGTTTACATTTTTTTTCTTTTTTATTTATTTTAATAAACACAATTGATAAAAAATTGAAAAAAGAAAACACCAATGACAAATCCGTCATTTTAGATACTTTCAAATATTTTGGACCAAACGTGCAACAAAACCAAAGTTTTGGACCGATGATGTTAGTTCAAAATTTTTTGGACTAAAGTGTCGATTTTCGACAAACCACATTGACCATTTTTGCAATTTTGGCTTATAGTTTCATTAAATTGTAAACGATGTAATATAATATTTTGTCTTAAAAATATATCCATATTGACTTCTAATCGTAGGAAATACATAAGAGTAAACTACACAAATGGTCCCTATGGTTTGGGGTAATTTGCACGTTTAATTCATAACTTATTTTTTTAACTCAAAAGGTCCCTACAACTTTGTTTCGTTGCGCGTGGTCCCCATCTTACTTAAAAAGACTATTTTTGCCATTGATTTTTTAATTTATTTAACTAATGTGAGGTAGGTAAGGTAAGGTAAGGTGAGGTGGAAGTGGGGTTGGGGTGTGTTTATTTAAATAAATTAAAAAATTAAGGGCAAAATAGTCTTTTTAGGTAAGATAGGGACCAATCGCGCAACAAAAATAAATATATATATATATATATATATATATATATATATATATATATATATATAACAAATGTTAACATTTTTTTTATAAAAAATTTGATTATTAAATTATGAACCGAAAAAGCTATGAACAAATTACAAGCTATTTAAAGTGTTTTATAAATACCATTGAATTAAAAATGTTATGACAAGATAACAAACTTTAAAACTTGTTTTAAAATATCCATTTGGCTGAATATAAATTTTTTTCAGTCACAATGATATTTTAAAAACGAAATATAAAATTTATTGCATTTTTACGAAAATTTTTAGTTTAATGGTATTTTTTAAGTTTTTAAATAACGTTAGGCGCGACTTTGATGATAATGTCAAACCCCAAGTTTTTACGAGCCACGTCGTTTATATGGTATGACTTAAGGCGAATATATATATATATATATATATATATATATATATATATATATATTCCTACTATTTATTTATATATTTAAGACGACATTTTGTTAACACTTAACATGAAATACAATTTTGAAGTCATAACGTACTTTCGTGAAACTACCACAAATTGTTTAGAACCTTATATTTTTACCATATGAGATAGTCACATTTACCTTATACTTAAATAAAGTATTCATTTGTTTATATCTTTAAAAATAAAATAGTAACAAATAGTGAGTGATGTAATAATATATTTATGAAAACAACAAAGTAGGAGATTTGTTTTAACCGAAAACATTTGTTTTGGACAGACCCACCCAAAAAATCTGCCCCCTTTTCCATTTGTCACCCATTTCTTTTATACGAACCCTAACCCCACTTTCACTCTCTCCCTCTCGATCTCTCGACAGAAAACAAAGCAATTCTCTATCTCCAGTCATTCCTGTCGCCCTCAATTGCGACTTTCTCACCACTTCATCTTTTCCTCTCTCCTCTTTCTCTCTCTATCTCTACATCGATATATAAATTAGGGTTTTTGGCCCTTTAATTGGTTCTTTCAGATGAGTGCCTCGTCTGGCCCTGTTGCTTACAATAATAAAGACTCCGAAGAAGAATCCTCATCTGGTGGTACAAGTATTGCTGCCACTGCTACAGCTGATACTTCTGCTGTTAACGAGCCTCCGGAAGACGCTGTTGTTGCTGATTTCGGTGCCGGTGGTGGAGACGATAGTGATATGGATAAAGGAGGTGGAACTGCCGGGGATCCTATGGATGAGGATTCTGTGAATCCCGCAACCGTCTTTTGTATCAGGCTTAAGCAGCCAAGGTCTAATTTGCAGTATAAAATGAGTGTCCCTGAACTTTGTCGCAATTTTAGGTATTTCCCCTTGGTGTTTAGTGAACTCAGATTTCTATATTTGAAGTTTAATTTTTCTTAATTGATGCGTAATCTGCGTTATTTTCTTGGTAGTTTGATTCTGTAGCCTAAAAAACTAGCATTCGTAACATATCTCCATTCTTAACCCACTTTGTATGCGGATGAATTAGCAATAAACAATAACATTACGAAAGACATATAGTTTAGACGCCACATTTATGTTCTGCAACATTTCCTGTTATATCTGAAATTAAGTGAAATCACCACTGTGATGAAGATGAAAATGCTTATTTGGATTTGAAAATTACCTGGTCGACTTTAAACAAACACATTAGGTGCTATTTCTTTTGATTGGATGACAGGAAGTACAATTTGTGCGGCCATTTAGGTGGATTTGTTTTATTACCTTTTTAGAATAGAAGGTTTAGTAAAGTGAGTTGTTTCTTCCAACTGATTTGGTTGGTAGGCAGGCCTATCTTGATGTTCTCTATCTAGGGGTGTTTTGGGATAACTTATTCAAAACAACTTATGTTTTTTTTTTTTTTTTTTATAAAAAGTGTTTATTAGCTTATGAGGTACCAAACACAGTTTAAGAAAAACTGTTTGGATTAGCTTTTATGATGCCAATACACAATAAGCTGATAAGTTAAAGTAAAAACACTTATCCAAACACTCAAATTTGCTTATTAGTGGTACCTAACCACAAAGAGATGATAAATTAATGAAACAATTTCTCCAAAAGTGCTTCTTTAAGTCAATAAACAGAAGCTGTTACTAGCTTATTGGATGTAGCAAACCGCAATAAGCTAATAAGCACTAAAGCACCTTATAATTATTAGCAATCCTAAAGACCCCCTAATCTTGATGTAATCAAATGTATCCACTGTAGTTCTTGACCATTCATTTGTGCAAACAATTTCTTACTGGTTATTGTTGTTTCCAAGTGTTTGATCACTTGGCATCCATATCAAATAGGATGCTGCTTGATCTGGATCATATATACCTTTATCTACCAACCCGATCATCCATTCTAGATGTGTGGCTCATCTCAGATTTGATAGAACCATTTATTTTTGTATGGAAACATCTAAACCTTAGCTTTTGTGGCATAAATCACTGCTGTGTTTGGATTTCCTTTACTTCACTTGACTATTAGTAATATCTAATTGGGTTTAGTGCTTTAACAGTGCTGTTGCTTGGTGTGGAAAGCTGAATGCCATAGCATGTGCATCAGAGACCTGTGCACGTATACCAAGGTAATGAAATATTATCTGTATTCCAACCATGTGACATTGGCAGACATACTTTGTGTATTGGTAAAGTTTCAAGTTTTATCATCTAGTTCAGTTTCAGGAGGCATATTGTATGCACACGATTTCATGTTAACCTTCCACAATTTGAAAAAATTTCTTTGTGGTTAATACTTAATACATTTCATTCTAAGATTTATTCTCCTTCTTGTAGTTCTAATGCAAATCCACCATTTTGGATTCCAATACATATCGTGATCCCTGAACGACCTACCGAGTCAACTGTATTCAATGTCATAGCAGGTACTGTGTGTGAAATTCTTTTAGGAGACTTCATTTTCATGCTGGTTCTATTTATGGCTTTTTCAATAGCATTGGATAGCCAATCTATCACACACATCAAAAACAACTGCACTGATTTTTCCTTGGCAATATGTTCACCAACATGCATAAAAGTTCTTTAAACTGTTCCTTGTGGTATATCTTTATTCTAAGTCATGAATTTTTTTGATTGAATAACTATGCCAGATTCTCCACGTGATTCAGTTCAATTTATTGAATGGTCACCTTCATCTTGCCCTCGTGCCTTGCTAATTGCTAACTTTCATGGGAGGATAACTATCTGGACTCAGCCTTCCCATGTAAGCTTTGCCTGCTTTACTTCTAGTATCTGCTTTCACTGTTTGTGTACATCTTACCTCCTGCTTACCTCATTCTTTTGGAAGTTGGGTATTGTTGTATGCAAGTAAGGCTATTAGTTTTAATGTTTGTTGTTCTTTACTGGAAAAAAGTATTTGTAGAAAAGATTAACCATTCTTTCTGTTTGGGCTAAGTTATCTTGCCAAGTTTTTTTTGGTTGACACACTAACACTGGCATTGACACTGACACTGACATTGACATTGATACTGATACTGACATTGACATGTTTAATGATAATACAGGGATCAACTAGTTTGGTTAAAGATGCTAGTTGTTGGCAACGTGAACATGAGTGGAGACAGGATATTGCAGTCATAACAAAGTGGCTATCTGGGGTGTCTCCTGTATGATACTTATACCCTCTGGTTATCTATATTCAAACTATGAATCATCCTTGACATTTCTTTCTTTTTCTGAAAACTAGTATAGGTGGCTTTCCTCAAGATCTGGTAGCTCTACAAAGTCACCATTTGAAGAAAAATTTCTCTCACAACAACCTCAAGCTCCAGCCGGATGGCCAAATTTTCTGTGTGTATGTTCTGTTTTCTCATCTGGATCTATTCAGCTCCACTGGTCTGAATGGCCACTGAATCAAAGTGGCACATCTAAATGGTTTTGCACAAGCAAAGGCCTCTTGGGAGCTGGGCCTAGTGGGATTATGGCAGCTGATGCAATTGTTACAGATTCAGGAGCTTTACATGTGGCAGGAGTCCCAATTGTGAACCCATCTACTGTTGTTGTTTGGGAGGTGACTCCTGGATTTGGGAATGGATTTCAAGCTACTCCAAAGACTAGCACCACCAATGGGATCCCTCCTTCACTTAATCCACCTTCTTGGGATGGTTTTGCTTCGTTAGCTTCTTATTTGTTTAGCTGGCAGGAATACTTTGATTCAGAAAGTAAACAAGGGAAGAAACTTACAGAACAAGATTATAGTGACATGGTTGCCCTTCATTGTTCTCCTGTTTCAAATTTTTCTGCATATGTGAGTCCTGAAGCTTCAGCTCAATTAGCAGCAACAACTACATGGGGTTCTGGAGTCACTGCAGTTGCCTTTGACCCTACCTGTGGTGGCTCTGTTATTGCTATTGTAATTGTTGAAGGTACTTAACCTTTCAACCTTCTACATTTATCTTTTATGTTACTTGTTAACTGTTGACATTGTTTATGTAGGTCAATACATGTCTCCTTATGACCCAGATGAAGGTCCTTCAATTACTGGATGGAGAGTTCAAAGATGGGAATCCTCTTTAGAGCCTGTTGTCCTGCATCCGATATTCGGGAATCCTACATCCACTTTTGGTGGGCAACCTCCTATGCAGACAGTGTGGGTCACAAAAGTGAACAAAAGCATTCCAGCTACTGATTACTTTAAAAACAATCCAACACCTACACCAGGATCGACTTCTGAGGGTATAAACATGTCAGATTCTGACATTGAGAAGGCAAAAAGGGTTGTTTTTGATCCTTTTGATTTGCCAAGTGATGTTAGAACCCTTGCTCGCATAGTCTATTCTGCTCATGGTGGTGAGGTTGCTGTTGCGTTTCTAAGAGGTGGGGTCCATATTTTTTCTGGTTCGAGTTTTACACCTGTTGATAACTATCAGATCAATGTTTTTTCTGCAATTGCTTCTCCTGCTTTTTCTTCTACGAGTTGCTGTTCTGCTACTGTGTGGCATGATACAAGTAAGGATTGTACTATGTTGAAGATAATTCGTGTTCTTCCCCCTGCTGTTCCAAGCAGTCAAGTGAAAGCAAACTCCTCAACATGGGAACGCGCAATTGCAGAAAGGTATTCTAATTTCATTTCTACAGAACTCGTGACAGAAATGCTGACATGCAATTTCTTTTTCCTAAATACTTGGCCTTGCAGATTTTGGTGGAGTCTTATGGTTGGAGTTGATTGGTGGGATGCTGTTGGCTGTACACAAAGTGCTGCTGAGGATGGAATTGGTAATAATTTGAATTAGCAACGTTTATAATCTGAAAAAACTTTAGGCCTAAAAAATTTGCTAGTGAAGGTCAGTTTTGTCATTTCGTGTTGATGTTGTGTTGTTACTCAGTTTCACTGAACAATGTGATTGCGGTTCTGGATGCGGATTTTCATTCTCTTCCTTCCACTCAGCACAGACAACAATATGGCCCTGTATGTTTCTTTAAGCTATCTCTCTCATTTTTTTGGTTATTTTTTCTGTTGGATTTAATTTAAAAAAAAAAAAATAATGCAGGGATTAGACAGGATAAAATGCAGGCTATTAGAAGGCACAAATGCTCAAGAGGTTAGAGCAATGGTGCTGGATATGCAAGCGCGATTATTACTTGATATGTTGGGGAAAGGAATAGAATCGGCTCTGATTAATCCTTCAGCTCTAGTTGATAAGCCATGGCAGGCATCGGGTGAGACACTAAACAACATTGACCATGAAGCAATGGCTGTTGACCCTGCACTTGTATTAACCATCCAGGTTGGCAGTTGGCACTGAACTGAACTGAATTATGATTTTATTGATGATATTGTTACTTGTTTGGTAAATTTAAGGCTGAAATATGATATGTAGGCATATGTTGATGCTGTTCTTGATCTGGCATCACATTTCATCACACGATTGCGGCGTTATGCCAGCTTCTGTCGTACACTGGCGAGTCATGCTGTAACTGCAGGGACAAGTGGCAACCGTAGCATGGTCATCAGTCCCACCACCCAAACTACTGGCACTCCTGCTCCTGGAGCTACACAGGGTTAGTTTTTACTTTTTACTATACTTGTTATTTATTGTTGGTTTAAAGTTATGGGTTACCTGCAAAAAATGTCAACCTACTTTCATTGATTTCTTTATTCTTGCACCCTATTTATGTTTTCTTCATGTTAGAGCATTGTACTTTGAAACATTAATCCTGTTATAGCAATGCCATTCAAATACAAAGCTATTTTTAGTTCTATATTTGGGAATATTTCTGGGCTAACTGCTAGAAATAGAAATGTATTTTCATTGATTTGTTCATTATAGCGTGCTACTTCTCTTTCTTTCTATTAAAACATTGTACATTGAAAAATTTACAAATGTATAGCCTCGACATCTATACAAAAAGCTATTTCACCACTATATTTGGGTAGATTTTTTGGGTAAATGCAAGAAATGACAACGTACTTTCGTTGATTTTTGGGTTAAATGCATGAAACAGCAGCATACTTTCTTTTACTCGTGTATTATAGCATCCTATTTCATATCTTTCTATTAAATCCCTATACTTTCACTTTATTATTATTATTATTGAAGAATCTTACTTTATCTACCCAATTATAGCATTGTACTTTCATACTTATTTTTAGAACATTATACTTGGCAAAATCTACCCACTTACAACATTCAAAACTTCTTTTGTATTTGGATGATGTTGCTACAATTGGGTAGATTTTTCATTTTCCAAAGTTGAACGTTAACATGAAGAAATGGAAGTATGATACTCTAATAAATAAATCAATGCTATATCTTTCATTTAACCTTAAATTTTTCAAAAGTACAACGTCCTAATAAGTAAAAATTGCAAGTACAATGCTACAATCGGGTCGATATTTTTTGAAGTACAATGTCATAATATGAAAAAAAAAATTTGAAAGTAGGATACTGTAATGGAAAGAAACGAAAGCAAGAGACAAATAAACAAAAGTACATTGAAATTTCTTGTGTTTAGCCCTAGAATTATTTATTTATACTATGCTTAAATGGTTAGATATTCATTTACTTTGTTTCATTTTTCCAGGTGCTCAAAATGGCAGTGCAAGTTCTACAGCAAGCACTCCAATCCAAGCATGGGTACAAGGAGCCATTGCTAAGATCAGCAACACGTCTGATGGTGCTCCTAACAGCAACAACAACAACAACAACAACAGCAACAGCAACACGACTCCCAATCCCATAACTGGTCCACCTTCCTTTATGCCTATAAGTATAAACACCGGAACTTTCCCTGGGACGCCAGCTGTCAGGCTTATCGGGGACTGCCATTTCCTTCATAGACTCTGCCAACTTTTGCTATTTTGCTTTTTCTTCCGGCGAATACAACTACCAAGATTTATAGGTGCACAAAGAAACACAGATTCAGCAGCAGCTGTTCATAAAATCTCAGCCTGGAAAGGTTGAAGAAGTCAGTTCTGTTCCTACAAAAGCTACATCCGCTTTGGGCAGGACAGAAGAGTTGCCCGTTGCCATTGCCCGGGCTGGGCAGCAGGTTGGGTCTGGAGCAAAAGGCCCTGAAGAAGGTCCAGCGAATAGGTCAAGATATGGTTCGGGCAATGCTGGTCAAGGTTACACATTTGATGAGGTAAGACCATTACTTGACCTCTCTTCTTTTTGTCCTTTTCATAAATTAACAAATAGCAATGTACTTTCAGTTTTGTCTGCTTTGGGCAGTATATATAGTTTTGATATCTGATGTGTGATGGGGTGCATGCAGGTAAAGGTGCTGTTCTTGATACTAATGGATCTGTGTAAACGAACATCAGGTCTGGCACACCCACTGCCTGTTTCCCAGGTAGGCAGCGCCAACATCCAGGTCCGCCTCCATTACATAGACGGAAACTACACCGTCTTGCCAGAGGTCGTCGAAGCATCACTCGGCCCACATATGCAGGTAGGTTTTCTAAAAGAGTACTACATACATCTCATTCCATTCCTTTAACTCTTATTTATTTATTTTTTTTCACACTTGACAGAATATGCCTCGGCCTAGAGGCGCAGATGCTGCTGGGTTATTGCTGAGAGAATTAGAACTCCATCCTCCAGCTGAAGAGTGGCACAGACGAAACACATACGGTGGGACATGGTCTGATCCTGATGATTTTGGTGTTGTCGATGATTCCTCTTCACGAATGAGCATCACCACTTCCACTTCCACTTCCACTTCCTCCTCAGATTCATCAAATGAAACCACTCATGTCCATGAAGCCCAACGTATATGGCCAAGGAAACGAAGAATGTCTGAAAGAGATGCAGCTTTTGGGTTAAACACTTCCGTTGGTTTGGGTGCCTATCTTGGAATCATGGGCTCTCGAAGAGATGTAGTAACTGCTGTTTGGAAAACCGGTCTCGAAGGCGTTTGGTACAAGGTATGCTATATTATCTTATTTTTACATATTTCTTTTTCTTTTTTCTCCAATGTTTTTAATTACATTCTTTTATGCAGTGTATAAGATGTTTGAGGCAAACTTCAGCTTTTAACTCGCAAGCTGGCAACACCAATACATCTACTCAAAGTGAGAGGGAGACATGGTGGATTAGCCGATGGGTTCATGGCTGTCCTATGTGTGGAGGGACATGGGTTCGTGTTGTATAGTCATATCACCACCTTATTATCTATGGTCTTCTAGGTTAGCTTCTTGCTTTAATCCATAAATAATTTCACATTAAATTTTAATTTATATTATCATTATAGGTAGAAACTAGAATGCTGTATGTAATAAACAAATCAATGCAAGTTTTTTTTTTACCCTACGGAGAACGAAACTATATATCTTGCTGCTGATCTCCCTCTTATTCAACTGTTGCAGATAGAATATATATATTCAATTCGATAAGGTGGCGTAATCAGGATTCATTTTTTTTTATTCCACGTGGTATGAAGCCATAGATAGCATATGAAACTAAAAATAGCTGTAAAAAGTGAACTTAATTTTGAAGTACTTGTAAAAATGAATATCATTTTGAGGTTAGGTCATATAATATTAATAGCAACACGCTTTTTGATTTGTGCTATTTACTATTTAGGTAAAATGGTTTTAATTTACGTTTGTATCTAGTTATTTGTATTTTTAAAAAGTCAGTTAATTGATTTAGTAATAATGCTAACATGTATGGAATAATAAATGAGAATAAACCAATCATATGATATTAACATGAATGGATTTCATTCCTTTAGCTCGTATTAATAACCTTTAATGTAAATGGTCACATGTATAAGGTATCGAAATCCCTTGAAGACGCACCCGTATTGAAAAAGTAACACCTGGGATAAGAAAAACACAATAAGCTGTCTGTCACAACATCTGTAAGATAGCAGCTCTCAAAATTTTAGTACAAGACATACACGTCATCCAAAACCAAATCAAGCAATTACATGTCATGTGACCATGTTAAAAGTGATTCGGGGTTGCAGGTTTTCTTTTTCATCCGGTGACAAAAGTTATACCAAACTTTTTCTTTGAAAGTTTTTGAGTCTTCTTGGTCGTGGCTGTGGATCGGGTCTTTTGACACATCTAGCCATGATTGAGCTAGTGTAGTCTCTTCATCATCCGTCCACCCTTTACATGGAGCCTTCCTTTTTTCCCTTTTTTTGTGTTTGTGGTTTGACTTCGGGCTCTTGAAATGATTCTTCAACAGTGCCTTCATCGAAAGAATCGGTTGACTCGTCCAATAGGCGGCGTGGTTGGGATTGAAAGTTAGTTTGCGGTTGGGGTTGAGAAAAGAATTGAGTTTCTTGAACCGTTTCAAACGGATCAAGATCCACATTCGGACGAGGTGTTGGTTGAGATTGGTTGTGGTAAAATTCCATTGGTTGAGAAGAGAACGGATTAGATGGAAACATTTGCGGAGCCATTGTAGGAAAGCAGTAGCTAGACAGAGAGTGAATTGGTTGATCAAATGATGGTTGATAACATGGTGGTGAAGGAAAGTTTGGGGATTGAGTGTTTGGAGGTGGAAGGTTTAGTGATGGAAGGTTTGAAGCTTTATTTTTGTTAGCAATTGGGGTTTTCTTTGTTTGAGATGAAGACATTTTTTCTTAAATTGAGAGAATTTGTGAGAGAGATATGATATTTTTGTGTGTGTAAATTGTTGAGAGTAAAATTTGATTTATATTAGTTGAATGGTAGTTGAATATGTATTTATTTATTTTTATTAAAAACGGTTTTTTTTTTTTTTTTTTTTTTTTTTTTTTTTTTTTTTTTTTTAAATCAACGTTGGTAAATATAAGTTGTTGAAATCGTTAATATCAACAATAAATTCATAACAATGTGTACATTGGTGCAATGCCAGCAATTTCATAACAATTTTTCATATTTCCAAAATTAGCCTTTTCAAAAACATCAACATACATAGGATGTGTTCATATTGGTTCAATGAATGCAATTTCATAATAAATTCAACAATTTAATACAAGTTGTTTGAAATCAATAATATCAACAATAAATTCAACAATTTAATTCGATGGAGTCAAGAAGAGCAATCCGAATAGCAATCCGGTCAAACCTCACTCCCACCAATCAAATTCGTTCACAACGTCTCTCTCTTCTCGCCAAAGCTATAGCGCGTTTCAGGTAGTGAGCGCTAGGGGGCGGTGTTCAACATGCTTGGCGATCGTAGCGAGCTTCCATGGCCAGTCGACTCCCTTTAGCCTAACAACCTTCAAATCCTTCCCATCTTTCTATATGTATATTTCACCATCAGACTTTCCTCGTTATGAAATTGGAGGTAAAATACACTAGAACTCGACGGTTGTCATCCTTAATATAACCTTATAATTTAACTACTTTCTTTAATATACCTTATTTGTTCTATTCTCCTTATCTTTTGTATCCAATATCTTTGTTTCATTTTAAGCTTAGCTTGGACCTCCTACCATCATCACTGTGTAGTCTTTATGTTTCTCAACCGTTGGGTCCTCACTTCTCAATGAAACCCAAGGTAAGATAATCTTCAATCTTCATACACAACCCTTTAAAATTATATTTTTTTAACCAATGTATTGAATCGGTCTAATAAGCACACACTTTTTTCTCAACATAATATCAACCTCATTTTGCTTTTTTTTTTTTTTTTGAAAATTATAGTACTTGATTTACATTTTTTTTTTTCAATTTGTAGTGGTTTTAGTGCTAAAGAAATTAAAATAATGGCTGGTAAATGATCCCTTTTCGATCACATTCTTCATTCAATAATGGAAGTATGAAACTTAAAAACCTATTGGGGTAACCATGGCATTTGATATTTAGACGGTTGAATTTATCGTGTTTGAGTGCATCACATAAATTTGAAGTCAATGAATAGTACAAGAATCCTCCAAAGGCAAATTTAGATTCCAAGAAGTAACTCAAACAGAAGGTACCCATCAAAGGAAATACAAAAATTACAAGAAAACAAAAACACATAGACTTGACAAAATCTTGGTAATATTATAAGTATTATAAAAATATGGCATCTCAAATGTACTTGAATTCAACGAGCAAGATTTTGACTTTTCCTCATTGACTTTAGAAAAGTCAAAATAGATTCAAGCCTCTTGGCTCCAAGCCCAATTTGTTTGACTTCCAACCCTTGGCATGCTTTTGGTCTTTGCATAGATATCAACTTTGAAGGTGGCTCCACACATTGCACCCTCACTATCAACCCTTGAGATTGCTTTCATTTTGTTCTTTGGATGCTCAAAGCTCTTCAACTCTCCTCCAGTATGATACAAGCAACCTACATTCCATTCATTTTAATCAGTTGTTAGAAATTACCATTTTCTCCTTTCTTTCCTCCCTCGAAAGAACACTAAAAACATCTATGTTGCGTTCTTACTTCTTACAAATAAATGGTTGTGTTGATAAATTTTCAAATACTTCTACCATACAAATTATTGTAAAAGTATGTTTTCGGATTCTAAAAACTTTACTTTTGAAAAAATAAGAAAAACTGATGACAATATACAATTTGTAATGTATAATGTACCCGTCCGTTATTATAAGATTTTAGTTGTGGATTTAATCAATGTAGAACCCACGAATGCACCTAACGAAAAGACAGAATTACCCCTACGATACATACCAGTTGGGAAGGGAGCAAAAGACTTGGAGCAACTAGACTTTATAACCTCCAAATTATCAGAAACTACAACAGAGCCATCAGAAGCTAACCCCCAGAAGAGCATCACTCTCCCATCATTACCCTGTTCAAAATTTAAATACAAGGTGAAAAAGACCATCCACACTTGCATATTTTTTTTATCTTCTTTTCAAAGAAACTTACAAGTGAAATAAAAACGGTTTTAGCCTTGAAGTCAAACACCACAAAACCAAAACTGCCTTCAAGGTCCTTAAGGACAGAATGGGCCGGGTATGGGCCACGGTCACGAAGGGTCTTGTAGGCCTGGATCACAAACATGGCCTCGTTTGCAGCCTTGTTCAGCCCATATTGCTTGTTAAGGGCATTCAAATTGTTTAAGCTCCCCAAAAACACACAGTAGACGTCATCCACGCTACAAAACAACCTACAAAACAAACATCTCACAATAGTTTAAACATACACGATTTGTTAGAAAAAGAAAGAAATAATTTCTTTCTGTTTTGTGTAAAAGGGTAAAGATGTATTTGATTGGAACAAAATGTGAACCATGAATTTTGTTCACCATTACAGCTAAACAAAACCAAATTTTACATAAAAAAAAGAATGTATTAAACAGGATCCATCAAAAACCATCTCTCTCTCTTTATATATATATATATATATATATATATATATATATTATATATATATATATATATATATATATATATATAATGTATGTATTTATGCATGCATGTTACCTTTGGGTGGCCATAAGGGAATGGGAAGAATGAGCGAAGGCCAAGGAAGCATCTTCACCAAAAGAAATGGTGGAAGCACTGTTAGGATGAGAAGACTGGAAGGCTTTCAGCGGGGGTTGATCGGCCTTCCTTGGTGATGAGGCTGGGCTCTTTAGCTCTTTTGGTGGACTCACCAATCCATTCTTGAATACTCCCAACATCTTTCTCTTTCTTTCTTTCTTTCTTTTCTTTTCTTTTCTTTCTTCTTCTTTGATTGTCAATTCTCAACCAATTCAAATCAATAGAATATGAGTTTAATAAGCAAACACCACACACGAAAATAGGAACATTGGACGGTCTCAAGATGTTTGTTTGTGTTTTTGGTTATTTATGGATACAATATTTGATGGAGAGGGACATATATATATATATATATATATATATATATATATATATATATATATATAGATATATATATATATATATAATATATATATATATATATATACTGATAATTATAAGTTATTTATTTAATTCACATATAAATGATAAAAAATTATTGGAAAAATCAAGTACAATAATCATGCACATGTGAATTTTTTATAAAAAAATCGATGCAATCAAAAGATTCACATGAAAATCCAAACATAAATTTTGAGTTTTTTTTGTTTATTTATATATTGATACGAATTTATATTTAAAAGTACCAAAAAATATGAATTTTGATCTATTTATCAATAAAAAAATAAGTCTAACTTTAAAAAAATAAAGAAAGGATCAATCAAAGCAGTAGTTTTTTTTTTTTTTTTTTTTTTTTTTTTTTTTTAATTTTGTTTTTTGTATATCAATTTGGGTTCTTTTTAAAAAGAACGAAAAGTCATGAATAATAGTATTTTTAGTTTTTTTTTATAAAAAACTTGGCCTAAACAAATTAAGTAAAAAAAGAAGTGGGTTGTTTAGTATGATCCGATACCTGTGCGTCTAATGTACAACTTTGTAACCATTTCTTTGGCCGTCAGTCGCTTTATATTCCGACACTTCAGATTGATTCTTTGATTATATATATATATATATATATATATATATATATATATATATATATATATATATATATATATAAGGGAGGATAGAGGTGGTCATTCTTTGTGGCCAATATAATGACTAAATTCAATTAAGGAATAAAAGAAAATGCAAACAATTTTTTACAATGGTTTAATTTAACATCAAAATCTAGTTATTGGGGAAACAAAAACTAACTTAGGAATCAGATTGACACGCGCGCGCACACAAAAGAAAAAAAAACTTGACTGCACCTACAATTTCTACAATTTCTAATATAGAATATCGACCATTCTTATTCCGAGAAATTAAATATCCTCCTACTTTTTGTTCCTACAAATTCTCCTACCCATTTAAATGATGACATGTGTTACATTAATATCTTAAAATATTATTAAATTTCATTAAATGAGTATTAAATGTTACACATACCACAATTTATTTGGGTAAGAGGATTTGTAGAAAAAAAAAGTAGGAAGATATTTAATTTCTTATTCCTCTGCGCATAATATAATTATGTCATGAAATATTAATAAAGATCTAAGGGTCTAGTTGAAAAATACATAAGAAAACATTTATAGAACTTTCTAAAAAAAGTTCAAAATTTATGTTTGCGGAAAAATCAATTTAGTCCAAATATAGTGAACTTAATAAGTTTGAAAACTAACTTTAGTGATAAACATATCAAAACAAAGTTCAAGTTCCTATGACATTTTTTTCTCTAAATGTTTTTATAAGTTGTATGTTAACATGACAACATGCTACCATCATTACAATATCTTTTTTAGTTTCTTATTTTGTACCTTTTTAATATTTTTGTGTGGAGTTTGAGAATCGTCAAACAAAATTTTAGAGATGGTTTGTGAGGTTTCATAAGTGGGCATACTAGGCATTTGATTCAGATTCGGAGATAACTAAAAATATTTTTTCGGACCGAGAGAGTTTAGTCGTTTTCAAATGGAAGAGTTAGACTATGATTTGGATAATTAATTAATTATGATCCATAAGAAAGAAACTAGATGGTTAAGATATTAGGAATGAAAAATTCAAAATGTGTATGAAGTTCGACATAGGATTCTATATATAAAGAATTGAAAATTATGGTACCATTATTAAAAAGTTACAAGAATTTGGGTATCCATTGTTACTGTAACACGGGAGTAAGATTGATTGTCATATTTCATATTTGCTTGTGACTTTGTATCATCTGGCGATTGAAATCATGACTTTGTTTGCATTTTTTTTTTGCTTATACATGTATTTTTGCTAAAAATACCCACAACCGGTCTAAGGATTCCTCCGATAAACATGGTTTTAGGGGCGGAGCTGATATGGTTCTTGAAGGGTCTCGGGCTACTACTCGCTTTCATCTTCTAAGGGTAAAAAAATTTCTACCATAACATGATCATGTCAACCACCAAAACAAGTACTTAATATTAATATGCTATTTTTTACGCATAACTTTTATTTGCAATGCTAACTACGGGTAATGTATTATGTCAAGTTTCGGGTTTAAACCTAGTGACATCGTTTTTTGTAAAGAAAATACTAATAAAAATGAAAATTTTATCTTTACTATCAAAATAATCATGTCAACCATCAAAATAAGCACCTAATAAACATACAAATATGTTATTTTTTACGCATATCTTTTATTTGCAATGCTAACTATGAATAATATATTATGTCAAGTTTCGGGTTTAAACCTGTTGACACCGATTTTGGTAAAAGAAATACTAATAAAAATGAGAAATTTATTTATACTATCAACATGATCAAGTCAACCGCCAAAACAAGTACCTAATAAAACATGTTAATATATTATTTTTTTCGTATAAGTTTTATTTGCAATGCTAACTACGAATACTATATTATGTCAAGTTCCGGGTTTAAACCTGATGGTACTGGTTTTGGTAAAAAAAAAAATAATAATAAAAATACGAAATTTATTTATACTATCAACATGATCATGTCAACCACCAAAATACATACCTAATAAAATATACTAATATGTTATTTTTCACGCATAACTTTTATTTGTAATGCTAACTATGGATGATATATTATGTTAAGTTCCGGGTTTAAACTTGATGATACTGGTTTTGGTAAAAAAAAGTACTAATAAAAATGAGAAACTCATATTAACTGTCAACATGACCATGTCAACCACACTGAGTGGACTATAACACCATATGATGATATACCACACCGGGTGGATCTATCTTGTGCCAAGATTGGGATCCTCACATCAAGGAGAGTTAGAATAAACGACGATGTACATGTTGCCATTGAAGGAAGTGTATTTAAGGTGGGAGTTATTGAATTTGATGAAGATTGGTTTTCGTTCCAGTTCGACCCGTCGGGAGATTATTAGGAGTCACATGATGGGGATGATTAAGACGAAAGTGAGGATGAAAATGATGATGGAGATGACGACGAGGAAGGGATTTCAGACACATACATGGAGGAAGATTCAGATGATAAGGAAGAAAAGGAGATATCGCCAGAATCACAACGGGATGGGGCGGGGGTAGAAACGGGAGATAGAGAGAGCTCTCCGACAAAAACTTTCGGTTAATGGAGGGAGGAGGACGCATTGATGGCAAGAGTACAAAGCTCACCTGGGGAACAGACACATGAGGTGGAACCCCTAATGCCAGAATGCGAAACGTTTCCTAGAAATCTGGAACCAATAAGTGATAACGGTAATAACATTCCCCCGATTCTAGAACTACATGGCGATGGACCCCACACCAACATTGGCACGTGTGCAAATATATCTCCAATCCCAAACCCTAATGGGATATATATATATATATATATATATATATATATATATATATATATATATATATATATATATATAGGGCTACTCCCATGAAAATGTTTTGGGCCTTTCCCATCCCCCATCACATCAAATATTTACCTGGGCCAATCCTATGAAACAGTCAATTCACTTGGAAAAATAAGAAGATTAGAAAGGGACGAGTCTAGAAAACCCCCTTAATTCATAAACCGGATGATAGATCTCTTTGAAATGGAGACACGACCCACCTCCCTGCCTCTTCAAACGATGGTGATTAGGGATGACGATGATGTTTCAATCGATGTTAATAGAGTATTATCTAAACAACGTTAGAATCAGATCGTAAGTGGTGAAAGCTCCTCCACCTCGCTGGTAATTATAAAAACAACTGGAATTGGAAATGAATTGGGTTTCGAAATTAACCCAAATGACCCGATTCTACACGAAGTCATGGGCGAAAGCGAAGAGATCACAGTCCCTCGATTATTTGCATAAGTCTCAATGTGTGAGGAATAGGCGAGGAACACAAGGTCAGGTGGGTGAAGAGGCTTAAGACTCAAAACAAAGCTTCCTTTGTGGGAATACATGAGACACAACTAGTAGATGTAAATGGCATATATGTTGCGGGATGTTGGGACTCAATAGAGTTTGGCTTTTCGGCAGTGCAATCTCATGGAAGATCCGGGGGTTTATTAAGCATATGAGATAGTAGCATAGTCAATGTATCAGAGATCATTAAAACAAGACAACTCCTGGTAACAATTAGGAGATGGAAATGTATTCAAGGAGATACTATATTTGCAAATGTATATGGGCCACAAGCTCCCTCAGAGAAGAAGAAATTATGGGAGGAGATACTACAAATAAAAAGAGAAAGATAAGGAACATGGGTGGTTTTTTTTTTGTTGATTTCAGCACTGTCAGGAGGGCTGATGAACGATACAATTCCCAATGTTTCCCGATCTCTGCCTTTCACTTCAATAAGATTCATTAGAGAAGTAGGTCTAAACGAACTCCGAATGGGCAAGCAACGTTTCACTTATTTTTGCCAAACTGATATCAAAGCCCACAAGCTCGATCGTTTCTTGGTATGTAATAACTTCTTAAATTCCTTCCCCTCCAACTCTGTCACTGCACTCCCACATGAAATATCTGATCACTGCCCGGTAATGCTAAAAACCACCTCACATGAGTTTGGAAATCCCCCATTCTAATTCTTCAATTCATGGATGAGTAGAGAAGGCTTCGATAGTATAGTCACCAATGTTTGACGTAACTTTAAGGGGTTTGGTAACCCCGATAACTACCCGGCGGCCAAGCCAAAATTCTTGAAGAATGAACAAAAAAAATGGCGGGCTGAAGACTATCCCAGAGAGGTGGCAAAATTAAGAAGCATTTAAGCAAAAGGTGCATGATATTGGTTGTCTAGTAGAACAACGGCCTCCGAGTGAATAAGAGATTA